ATATATATATATTTATGGCTCTTTGATCTATCGTCATGTATGTTATCATACTAAAGCAAATGCATTCCTAAGCCAATAATTGCAAATGATGCTGTAAATATGACTATATGAATTGTCATATAAAAACCTTACAAAGCATCACAAAAGAGAAAAAAATTCAGTTATGAGAGCTAGAGAGAGAGAGAGAGAGAGAGAGAGGGGGGGAGATTTAAAGGCTTACATGGCTTTGGATGAAGAAGAGGCCATAGAGAATTTGAGAGCAAGTGATTACTTCGAAGGAGAATTATTTTCAAATTTCCTTTCTTTCAGAGCATGGAGGTCAGAGGAAGAGGAAGAAGAAGAAGAAGAAGAACTTAATTAAGGATTAATGAGTGGCCATGAAAATTGAGTTGAAGTTTCAAGGAAGAAGGGGGAAAATATAATTATGACTATTCTCCAATTTAAAAAAAATAATAATAGATTTACAAAATTAAAAAAAAAATCAATTAATAATTTACAAAGAAATTTACAAATAAACCCAAAGAAAATCTATTTTCCAATTAATTAAATATGAAAAAAATAATTCCACAAGACTTTATGGACCAACATTTTCTCAGATACAAGAAATATGTAGAGTAGTTGCTCAGAATGTTCTGAACTTATTTTTCCACTGCCAGATGCTATTTTCACCCTAATTAATGATCTAATGAAGATTTACATACATACCACTCAATTCTTATATATTTTCGTATCTTTAATTTTCACATAAAGTAGTGTTAGATATGTAAATATATAGGAATCAGTTGGTAAACCCTTAGTCTATCTTTTGGCAATTCATGGCTGAAAAGGTTGATGTGCCTTCTGCCAACACTACTTTTGAAAAGTGTAGAAAGGTTAGGTTAGAATAAGTGACCATAATTTAATTAATATAACTTTTAAAACAATAAATGGTGTAATTTTGGAGCCATCGATGCTAATAACTGCTTAAGGATCCGTTTGGGGCGGTGGTGTGATGGCAGTGCAACAGCGCACTTAGTTTGGGTAAACTGCATTTTGACAGTATTTTTCAAAAAACAGCCGCTAAAATCTGCATTTTCCCATAGGTCCTGGTTAGGCGAGGTGGCACCATTCTAGCTACGGTTTGACTTTTAATATATATACATACAGGTTTTTTAATATCAGATTATTTTTTAGCAACTTCACAACTGCTTTTTAATAAGCTGCAGCTATCTCAAATAGACTCGAAATTAGATACAAATAATGCTACAAAGATGTTATAAGATATTGGGGGGATTTACATACATAACACCAAAATATTGTTATTAACATATCTAACTCAAACATTAATATTAGATACTCACCACCTTAAAATCTCTAATACCCCCATTCTACCACATCTAAACCCATCACCATCATCCTCAAGCTTTTTCGTCAGTCTTCACAAACTCAAGCAGCTCGAAAAGGCCAGCCATCGTGAAAGCCAACCTGTAGCCCATACAAGAGATCGTCCATTTGCACGAAGCCTTCGCTTATGCAGCTCGAAATGCCCAAGTTCGAGAAAGGTGGCAACGTTGGGTAGAGGTAGAATTTTTGTATTAGGGATTTTAGATTGGTATGTATGTAATATTAATGTTTGTTTTGTTAAATATGTTAATAATAATGTCTTAGGTGGTATGTATGTAAAATCCCCTTAATATTTAAAGATAGAATGAAAGGCCAAAATAGTAATTAATTCGGGGTTGTTTTGACATTTCTATAAAATTTGAGACTAAAACAACTCCATATAAATGATATGGGACTATCTTAGCACTTTACGATGAAGATATATTAGAAAATTTTGATTCCTAAATATTTTGGAAATAAAATATTTAAAAATACATTTATTTGGGTATTTGCATGTAAACAACACATTTTTTATATGTTTACGTGTATATCACATAAACCTTTATATTTATGTATATAACATTTAGATCTTTAACATCACATCAAAAATCATCGTAACAATTGTACTTCTTATATTTACATACATTGCTACGAGATTTTGCTTTTTTTTTCGTTTACTCCTTCATTTTGAAGCTTATTGGGGGGTTGGTTTCTTTGGCTTTTCTTCTTGCTTTGTTATATGATTTTGCAGGTATTTGTGTTGATTCAGTTGGAACGAGTTGTTTGTTGTTTCTTTTAGAACTCTGTCGTATCAATTGGTTGCGGGCATTTCCTTGCCTAACCATTGAAAGTGATGATGGTTGTTATGTATGTATTATTACCTTCCTTAACCGTTTTAATTCTTTTGGAGCCTTCTATCGGCTTCTTCTTCGTGTTACTTTTTTGTATTTGTCTGTTTTTCGTGGTTTAACTGTATTTTTTGAGGTTCTTCTATCTCTTTGTTGTGTTTAGTAATAGGGTCATGCAACATCATCATCATCAATCATCACCAATCATCGGAGTTTCTATTTCTTGTATCGAAACAACATTCTCATTTTTTTTTTTGAGTGATACTCATATGATGAAGATTTGATGATGATGCTAACCATATGTGTGATACAAAACTATATATGGCTTTGAGTTAAACCAAGCTAAATTCTTACAACCACAACTCCCTCCATCTTTTCTCTCATAAAAAATCAATTCCAACATTCTCCTTTTTAAAATATAAAACTTTAAGGGGTGCTTACATGCATACCCACACAATTCTTATGTACTTACATATCTAACTTCTACACATTCATATTTACATGTATATCATTCAAATCCTTAACATCACACCAAAAATACTATCAACACTATCTTCTTAGAAATGAGATGCACATTTTCATGTATAGACTTATGACACAAAGAAGCTAAGTGTAAATATCAAACTTAAAACATAAAAAATTTGTTGTATGCATGTAAATTTCTCAAAAATTAATTGTGCTTAAGTATCATCTCCATCATAATTACTTAAGTCTCCTTCCCAAAACCATTGGATTGCCACTCCCCTAGTCTCTTCTCTATTTGTATTAAATGACCCATGTGATTGTTTATTAAAAGAATGAAATATTTTTTCAAAGTGCTAAGATTCTCTTTTGAGTTCATACTCCTAAGAAATACATAAAGAGCATGAGTGTGATCTCTAGGAGAAGTTCAAGAAAAAGATATAACTTTTATGATGAAAGATAACTCAAGGAAGTTATTATTGCTAACATCATTACATATTATGGGCTAGTTAAGTTATCATTATAAAGCTTGATGCAACATAAAGAGTGGGGGTAGAGATGAGCAATTTTATTTGATGTGCAGAAATAGAAGAGGATCTCTTGAAGTGATTCGAGACTTCGAAGCAAAGGAATTGAAGAGAATCTCTTGAGGTGATTTGAGGCTTTGAAAACTTTTGTAAAATGAAATTCTAGTGTTGGTTTCATGATGAGCTTGAAGTAAGTTTAAGTTGAGATACATGATGAGTGAGCACCTACAAAATGCTTGAAGATGTTGTGGAGATTTATAAAAAATTAATAGGGAGTATAGCATTCAAATGTTGGTGTATAGAGTTGAAAAGATAGATTAAGACATTTTATAATGTTAGTTTAACATTGGAGAAAAAAGGAATGAAAATGTAAGAGCTTAAGAGAAAAATGTGTTATAATGCATGCAAATAATGTGAAATGTGAAAAATTGAATGAAAAAAAAAAAAAAACTAAAATGAGTAAAAAACATAATAAAAAGCCTGTTCAATAAAGAACAATAATAAATGCACCTTAGAATTAGTCTTAGTGTCATAACTCTTATCTTGTATTTATAATGAATAATAACTCATTTAATTCCTTCTCTACATAGATGAAATATCAATCATAAATATTTAAAAACTAGCTTGTCATACATGCTTCCAGTTGAACTTCATAAATGAAATGACTCAATAACTTAATAACGACGATGTGGCGTTTAACTTTCTCTAGACCAACATTTGAGCACACAAAACAATTTAACATTTTTATACAAATAACATGAACACTAATTTAAATGAGTTTCAATCAAAGTTGTTAAAACAAATTTCAGGTACTACTTAGCTATAATTTTCACTGACAAAGATCTTATAATAGACATAGGTAAAGCATGCTGTGAGACAAAGTAAAAAAATAGTCATTTGATTCAAGATTTCTATGAGATATGTAGCATGTATTAGCATAAGTGAAAAATAAACAATGATATAACATGTTATTACTATCACTGTATAACAAAATGAAAATTTTGCTTTGAAAATAAGATCATAATGCAGCTACATCACCAATAAAATGGCTTCAAAACAGGCATTTTAAGATAAAAAAAATTGTGTGGAAGTGATGAGCGAGCAATATGCAAAATATGATGCATAAAATGAAGGTAAAACAATGGAGAAATAAAAAATATTGGAGACCGAAATATATGCGCATCTCAAATGGTGATGGCACTCAAACAAGAAGAAGCTTAGTCTCAAATACATTACTACTCTCCTCCTCAGTAAAGATAAGATCATTTAATCATGATATAGAAGTGGTTCACTTAGATTAATGCAATCATCAATGATCAATGGGGCAACAATGATAAAATATTTCAATGTATCAACCTAGCAAGCAAGATATCTCAAATCATCATAACTAATCAAAAGATGGATCCACAATCATGAGATCAAATAGTGTATACTCTCTGGGAGAGAGGGAACAATTAGGTAACTATAAAAAAAAAATAATAATAATAAAATAATAAAATAATATAAGGGTGTATTATTATAGTTTAACATATAAATATTATGTTATCATTATAAATTTCATTCATGTTGGACAATGAAAGGTTTACCAAGAAGAATTCAATTATATCCAAGGGCATGACATAGCACCAAATATTATCTTCATAACTTACAAAGTTTAATCAGCACTAAACATCGAGTGTTAATATGCAAAGAAGTGTTGTTGAGACTCTCCACATAATGATGTAACTAAATAGTCGAGTTAGGCCTAATCATATACTTTGAAAAAATCTCATTCAAATCAATATCATTGTTAATCACAAGTTTGCACTTTTTAACTTAGCATATACTTTACATGTGGGAAATATTCTCTCTAATTATTAAACTCATAAGGATTGTTCCAAATATAAATAAAAGGGGTAGTAGTAAAAGGCAACCCTTTCAACTTCAGTACATAAGTTGTCTCATAGCATCCACACCCTTTGCCACTATGAGTCATCGCCACAAAGTCCGATGCTCATTGTCACCACCAAACTAGTGTAAACCATCACTAGTAAGGTCAATGTGCGCCTTTCTAGTGGTTAATCTCCCCTCCTATAATGAGAATGATCAACAAATCACCAATCATTTTTCGATAATAACAACTCTTCAAAACACCTCGTGCACATATAAAAGATACCTAATATGACTTATGAGCATATCATATTATCTTAATGTATTTTCTGTTCAAGATGAAAGGTGCACTTGGTAATATTTAATTTATAATAGAGCATATGTGAGATAATTTCTTTTCTTCCTAGGTTTTCAAAATAAAAAACCTTCAATCTTATATAAGATGCTCTCAGTATTCTGGCACAGAACAATTATCAATGGGATCAAAACTCCTTTTGGCTTAACATGAAATATGCATAAAGACCTACAATTCATTACAACCAACTAGGGATGTAAACGAGTCGAACATGAGCAAGTTGATGTTCTGTTTGTGTTTGGCTCCTTGCATTAACACCTATTCAAAATCGGCTCGTGTTCGAATTAAGCTTGTGATGAATTTGTTCGTGTTCGGTTTGATAGTGCTTGAATTTATTCGTGAGCAACTCGAAATAGACTCCGTTTATTTGTTCCCTCGACTTTAGCTCGAATCGAATTGAGCTCAACTTGAGAGCCAAAATTCAAGCAATATCGAGTTTTCCTGTTTTTAAACTACTCTAACCTGTAAAAAAAATTCTCACAAATGTGAGACTAAACCAATGTATAAAGATGGAATTGGGAATGAGAGTAAAGGAATTGTTAATGTGGGGCAATCCCACCGTGAATTTTCTATTTTGGGGCATTTACATGCATACCAGTCAATTCCTATGTATTTACATGTCTAACATCTAGAAATATGTAAGCATCGGACCCAAGTGTTCTTGTTCTCTGCTATCCTTTTTTTTTTTTTCGGGCATTGCAAACACTAGCCAATTGCTATGTATTTACATATCTAACACTCAAATATAATTTAAGGACAATATGAAAATAAATATTATTTTTTTATTATTTCGAGCAAAAAATGAGCCGATCAAGGACGACCAAATTTTTGTTCATATTCAACTTATTTTTTTATTATTTCGAGCAAAAAATGAGCCGAACAAGGACGACCAAATTTTTGTTCATATTCAACTCATTTATAAATCAAACTTCAAAGAATTATCCAAGTTCAATTCACTTGCTTAACGAAAGAATCAAACACGCGATATTTTCAAACTTCAAAGAATTATCCAAGTTCAATTCACTTGCTTAACAAAAGAATCAAAAATGTGATATTTAACTAGTCAAACATGACTGCAAATGATGATCAAGTCCCCTTGACTCAAAAGAGCCATTTCTTAAGAAAAGCTAAAATCCAAACAAGATGGGAAGACCCAAAGCTAATATAACTGCAAAGCCAGAAAAATGAAGGTTCTTGGAGGTTAAACATCAAGAATAATCATATACCAAAGTAGACTTATGTTTCCCATAGAAGTGCATTAATTTACCAATTTGCACCTCCTAAAAATCTTCTACTTGATAAGATATTAAAATATAAGATAATTAGGAAAGTAGAGCACTCTAATAATATTCATTTGATCCAAGATTCCAATGAGACAAGTTACATGTTGTATCAGAAGAATGGGGAAATTAATGATATATAATAATATTACTATCATCATACCCATATGATAACTTATTTTGAAAAAAAAAAAGGAAGACTTAAACACCTATACTTCAATTTTTACATACATACCATAAAAATGTGAACTTCACTTTCTAACAGTAAAAAAAGATGGCATTTTTATGCAATATGCAAGATTTGGGTGGTATAAATATAAAAAGTAAAATTTAGGTGTTAGACATGCAACTACATTGAAATTAGGCGGTATGTATCTAAATAAATTAAAATTAGGTGGTATGTATCTAACACCTATACTTCAATTTTTACCTTTTAACTAGTTGTAAGGTTTACTTCCCTCAAGACCTTGGCAGCATCCTCTGGGAAGACTGGATTAATATAGCAGCCACTTCCAATCTCAAAACCACCAATTACATTTAACTGGGGAACAATTTGCATGAACCAGTGGGCATAAGGCAAATGCGGAGGTGAAAGATGAAATGGTGAGCTATGAATCATGAAGTTGTATGGTGGGTCATTCAGCTGCTTTGACAGTTTTGAAAGTATCAGCTTCAGCAAACCACCAAAATCAATAGCCTGAAAAAGAAATCAAGTAGTAATGAAAATGAATAAAAGAGCAGGGCATTTACATACATACCAATTTTTATCACCTAAACTTTACTTTTTATAAATATACCAACAATCTTTCATATCACATAAAAAATATCACTATTTTATACACAAGCTAAGCTGTTTAGAGAAAGGCACCTCGTAATTGATAACAGAAACTAGCTTGTCATTACGCTTTCGACAAGACATGAATTATATTAGCCACAAGTCAGCCACTATCTTACATGATAAATTGATATGCCTGCTCCTGCAGACGGGAGAGCCAATCGAAGAGCCGATCCTGCACATGGGACGATCCAAGGAAGACAAGTTTGGACCGGCCAGACTCAACCAGACCACTCGGCCTGATCAAGCCAGTCGACCCAGCCTAGAGAGGTAGAATCCCTATGAGTTGCGGAGGACGAATCCAGGTTCTAGGTGGGCCCACACAGCCGTTAATCACGTACAAGAGAGGAAGTAAAGGAGATTTTGGGGGAAATTTTAAATGGATCTTTGAGAGTATTTACTAGGGCTAATTGGCTAGGGTTTGCTTTATGTTTTGATTTGCTGTAATTTTTCTTTTCTCTATGTTCATAGCGGCATCTAAAATTTGTGTAGAGATGATCTACCTTTCAAATTGTAGATCATCCCTTAAATCTTATTTATTTGGTTTGATATTTTAATCAAATTAGCCCTATATTGGCTTTTCCCATATATCTATCGCAGTTTGCTCGCTAATTTTGACTCTGGTTTGTATCAATTTGGTGTCAGAGCGAGATCTTGGAGAAATAACAGCAAAGAAGGTGGATGTTTTGGGTATGACAAATCAAATCGGGGATGAAAAAAAAGTTCACCACCATAGATGATAGGTTTTCTTCCACAAAAAAACCAAATGGAGGGCTGCCTTGAGGGTTTTCTTCCATGTAGAACCAAATGGAGAACCAATTTAAGAGCCTTGAAGAGGGGCTAACTGCTCTAATTGAAATAGAAGGAGGTCGAAAGAGAGGAGCACGATGAAGAAGGCATTTAACATCAAGAGCTTCCCAAGGGTGGGGTATGGCTATGATCGAAAGAGCGAGTTTCACCCTAAACACATGGGACGAAATGCCACAGAGAGGAAGTTGAGGTGGCAATGCAAGGGTTAAAAAACTAAAGATGTTGATCTTTGAAGGGGAAGATACATACGAGTGGAGCGATACTTTGCAATAAATGAATTAACTGAAAAAGAAAATCTCATGACGGCAGAGTTATGTTTGGAGAAAAAAACCCTAGCATAATTTCAGTGGATGGAGGCAAATTACCTGATTCGTTCGTGGGAGGAGTTTAAGGAATTTTTGTTGGAATCTTTCCAGGCCATTCGGGAAGGAGACCCACATGAGCAATTCTATGTTTTGACTAAGGAGAGAACGATAACGAAATATAGTGAGATGTTCAAGCTATTGTAGGTGCAACTAAGGGGTATTTCAACGGTAGGACTGGAGGGGAACTTCTTGAAGGACCAAAAGCCCAACATCCAAGCAGCCCTCCAACCATTGAGACCACGGGGATTTAGGAAGATGATGGAGCTCGCCCAGATAGTGGAAGACAAAAAACAGAAAAAAAAGATGAGCAAAGGCAGAACTATGAGAAAATTTTACAAGAGCCCCTTGATGGCCATAACACTAAGAACCCAGATGATGTCATTTCAAAAGAGGCGCCAATAGAGAGGAATACAGGGGCCCATCCAGGATAAGAGAGCAAGCGGATTTTGTTTCTAATATGATGAGAAGTATCCCCTAGGCCACCATTGCAAGGACAACACGCTTTAGATCCTTCTAGTTCGTGAAGGGGAGGAGACAGATAGTGAGTCGGGGGAAGACACGATGAAGGAATAGGAGCAATTGCACCTGTATGTAGTGAAGTTATCCCACAATTCGTTGGTGGGATTCACCATGAATCACACTAAGAAAGTGAGGGGATGGATTGGAGAGGAGCCAATTATTTTGTTAGTAGATAGAGGAGCCACACATAATTTCATCTTAAATCAAGTCACATATCGACGAAGCTTGGAGCTGGTAGATACAAGAAGCTTTGAGGTCATGATGGGTACAAAAAATGTGGAGAGAAGTTGACGAATATATAAGGTATTAGTTCTGATGATAGATGCCTTATAGGTGATGGAGACTTCCTTCCCTTGGACTTTAGGCAACACTGATATGATTCTGAGAATGAAATGACTATAGATGCCTGGGGAGATGAAGGTGGACTGGAAATTCCTGACGATGGAATTCAAGGTGAAGGATAGGAAGGTCGTGCTGAGAGGAGATGTTAGCCTATGCAGAAAAATAATCTCGCTCAGAATCATGGCCAAGGTGATACGGGAAGAAGGGTTAGGCTTTTTGGTTGAGTTGCAGTATGAGATTCTGAGTCGAAAGAGTTTCAAAAGCGTGTTCAGCAGCTCCTATAGTAGTTTCCCGACAAATTTCAGCAACCGAGCAAATTACCGCCACCGAGAGAGCATGAGCATGCCATTACCTTAAAAGAGGATGTCCCTCCTATTAGTGTCAGACCATACCAGTATACTCAGATTCAAAAGAATGAGATAGAGACGTTGATCTCAAAAATGCTCGAAGCTAGCATTATCAGGTACAGTAAGAGCCCCTTTTTCAGTCCAATCTATTGGTGAAAAAAAGATGGTAGTTGGAGATATTTGTGTTGATTACTGGGCTTTGAACAAGAAAACTTTATTGGAGAAGTTTCCTATCCCTGTGATTGATGAGCTGCTAGATGAGCTTTATTGGGCAATCATTTTTTCAAAAACCAATATTAAGTCAGAATAACACTAGATCAGAATGAATCCAACTGATATGCACAAGACAACGTTCAAAGCACATGAAGGGCATTACAAGTTAGTAATAATGTTTGGCCTCACCAACACTCCGATCACATTTTCAATCTCACATAAATTAAGTTTTTCAGCCTTACCTAATGAAATTTCTATTGGACTTCTTCGATGACATTCCGATCAACTATCATACAGAAACAGAGCGAGTGGGCATCCGAGGATAGTCTTGGAGAAGTTGAAGGAGCACCAGTTGCACACTAACATGAAGAAATGTTCCTTTGCACAATTACACGTGGAGTACCTAGGACACATGATGACCAGGGCAGAAGTAGCAGCGAACCAGTCCAAGAAAGAGGTTGTGGTGGACTAGCCTTTACCAAAAGTTGAAAGGGTTCATAGGTCTCACTGGATACTACCGGAAATTCATTAGGGAGTATGACAAATAGCATGGTCGTAGATGAAAAACTGAAAAACGACAATTTCAAGTAGGGGAAGCAACAACACATCTGAAGAAGCGATGAACAGGGTCACGGTATTAGCACTTCCAATCTTTAGTAGATTGGTAGAAATGGATGTGTCAGGGTACGGATATGGATCAATACTCATGCAGGATCAACAATCGATTGCCTACATTAGCCAGGTGCTCACATCTAGGGTGAGGCTCAAGTTAGTGTACGTGTAGAAATTGAAGGCTATTGTCTTGACCATTCAGCGTGTCGTGTGTCGTATTTGTTGTTATCTCCAATTTTCGTTTGTAAGGTTGTAATTACATATTTGAATTCAGCAATAATAACATTTTCTCGCTGTTTAATTGAACTCCTGTATCACACCCTCTTACTTTCGTTCGTTAAATCAACAGAGACCAGTTCTTCTAGTCGAGCACACGAGGAGCCAAACCCCCTTTTCTTCTCCTTCGTTCAAAGGAGTCGAGCAGCTCCAAGACCGAAGCAACCCAAACTTCGTGAGACAAGAATTGCAAATCGAAGCCTGCAGTGAAAACACCTTTTCTGCTTTGATTTCTTGATTCGCGAGTGGCCTTCCTCTCTCTTTTGTTTCCTCTCCCAAATTGTATAGAATTAAATCCATTTATTTCCTTCATTTTCTATATTTCTTCCGGTGTTTATCTGTCTCTGTTTGCCGAGACCAATAGTTTGGTTGTTTTATATGTTCGTTTGTTCAATTTTGTTCCATCATAGTTTTTTTTTCTTTTCTAAAGTTGATGGGTTTTGATCGGCAATGAAATTTTTGTGTGAAATGTTGTATTCTTGGATCTACTGTGTTTGATTGGCATATGATTATGGAGAACACTAAGAAAATGAGAAGTTATTTTGTCTCCTAAGGAATTCTTGAAATTACATTCCAACTAAACGATTTGAAGGTGAATGCTTCATTCCATTCCTATGCTCTAGAGAACCTCAATGCCGTCTTTCTAAACCTTCCGAACCTGTTATTCAGAAAGCAAAATCTGAAACCGTACTCAGCAAATGCCTCTAAGAATCAATTTCATCCGGGAATACCATGCCTGCTTTGACAATCCCTTTAGCTTTGGTCAGTGAAATGGAACAACAAGTTTAGAATCTATAACATTTTGCATTGGTCCTTATTTTCGAACCTCATTAAATTTGACATGGAAAAATTTTGAAATTTAATCTAATTTCGATTAACTAAATGACGTCTTGAAAACTTTGGGAGTCAAAACCGTAGCTGCTTGTTCATTCATTTCATAATTGTATTCTGAAGTTTAAAGTCAAATTACCTAGCTTGGACTTAGTTCCACTCTCTACAATGCCAAACTAGTTAGCAAAATTTGAATCATAGGCTCCTCATTTGAATATTGTGGACTATTATGGTTCCGTTAAAGCAAAACACATTATCTATCAATATGATTGGCATAACAAGAATGTTGGTAGGTCGTATAAGCTGAGTAAGGCATACTAACTTAATGCGCTATTAACCACTTGTGAAATAATTCTTGCTGGCTTTTCTCACCCTCTTAGAGTACCAAGGGAAATTTTGACTGTTAATGAGAATTATCAACTTCTGTAACAATGCGGCAGAAATTGAATCCTCCAATCTATTTTTGATTTATTTATTACATGCATTCGAATATATCATGTGATAAAAAATCAATTTTTATTTGGTCTATTAATCGCAGAAATTGAAT